ACTCTTTTTAAAAACAGCTACAAGCTTATTACTGAGCTCCTGCCAAAAGTGAATGCCATTTTCATGCACACCTTGTGACCCTATAGCCTGAGAGTCCCATTCATGATGAGTAAACAAGGTTGAAAGGGCACAATAATGTTCACTTGTCAAATTTAAGTGGTATATTCAAGGATACAGCTGGTCTGGCCCCAGGAGCATCTCAGCCTCACATGAAAATATGGCAGTATACACTTTGGGGGAAACTGTATCCCCTATCTCACCAATCAAAACTAAGTTACTAGCTCCATGGAGCCCTCAATTCATTGATGTTCTACTGTATGTCTGGGCCTGGTTCACTGATGGTTTGGTTGAGCTGAAACCCAATGGTGCTCGCTGGCTGATGCAGCTATCCAATGTCAACACTGGGTATGCATAATTCAAAACCTACAAGATTGCTCAGCAATATGGGCAGAACCCAAAGCCATCCTCACAGCTATTGTCAATACATCTCTTGATAAGACTTGTTATATTTTTATCAATTTAAGCTATTATAAAGTCAGTAAACTGTTTGGTCTGACACTTGGGAAACTACAGACTGGGATATTAGTCACCCTTCTTTGGGACAATAAACTCCAGAAACAAATCTTAGGTGCTGATCAAATCATCTGGATTACTCATGTAGATGCCCACAGAAAGATCCCGTCCTCTGAAAATAGCAAAGAGAATTAACCATCTGATAGAGACTGCCACAAACGCTGCATGGATCCATCATCCTGCCCAACCTAGTAACAAACCTGCCATCACAGACTGGGCAAGAAGTACTCCTTTTTCTGATGCAGGAGTTACCACAGCAAGCCACACTTGGGATTCATGCCAAAAGTTGACCAGTTTCTTCTGGCAAATGGATTACATCAGATCTTTGTCCACCTCTCTGGACTATAGTGGTGCCTCACCCTTTATGACACCTATTCAGGATTTGGTGTTGCTATTTCAGTCTGATTGGCTAACTCCAGCCACACCATTATGGCTCCTGAAACAAATCTACTTAATGTTTGTGGCTTGATGGACCATTTGAAGTCTAAGAGTGGTGTCCTTTTTATTACAAAAGCTTAGCAATGGGCTGAAAGTAGAGGTATTTGGTGGGCCTTCCACACTTCATACCATCTAAAGGCATATAGCGCTATTGAGCATTAGAATGGTCTTTTCAAAATTGACTCCAAAAGATTTCTGATTCTGTCTTCCTCACCTCTTCCTGGTCCACACATCTTAGTAAGGCAGTTTGGTTATTAAATATGGCTGTCCCTAGAAAGGGATTATCTCCTCTTGGCTACTCCATGGAAAGGGGAACTGGGGGAAAGATACTGACTGATTCTATACAAGTTTATATACATTACATGAAAATCCAGGATTCTGCTCTGACCACTCCTGAGCATAAGGTGTCCTTATTTACCACCAGGATGAGCCTGGTGGTAGCCCCTCCAGAAAGGAGCATGGAAGATTCAAATATAATTCTAGTTTAGCCACTTGTCTTGTGGGATTGTCATGATACTAGATCAAAAGGATAATGTCCACTTGGTTGAATACACTGCTCATCAAGTCCCTCTATGCCAACATGGACAAGGATGGGGGGCAAACTTGGTGTCCATAAGTTTTAAAAAATATCCTTTTCCCTCTTTCACCTGAATGTTCTGGAACATAGGTCTAGATGCCAGTAGGGGATGACTAGAAATAAGGAGAAGTTTTAGCCACCAAAATGGGACAAACTGATTTTGTGGCAGAAGGAGAACAACAATGCAGTCTAATAATGAGGCAGCCGGGAGGAGGTACCTTAGACCGTAAGAGGTAGGAGAGATGGCACTCAGTCACCTTCCCATGAAGGAAAATGCCTTAGTGTTCCTCTCTCAAACTGTTGTAAGTGCTTTAAACTTAACCGATTATTGGGTTACCATACCCACCAGATGTTGTAACAACAATTTGGTTGCCATTCTCCTTAAACCTACTGAGAAATCCATCAGAAACAGCAGGGGATGGCCCCAGCTCCTGCCCCAGAATAACAACCATCAACACCTCCCAGCCATCACTCAGCCGTTCCATGGGGTTGACAAATACCAACCAATCTGTGGCATGGACAAACATGAAACGTTGGAACTACTGCACCCGGGCAATCTCCCAAAGACAAGGAAGAGACACAATTATTTAGGGTGCATTAGAAACCCTGTAGCAAGGAGGCTGCAGGCATTGATAACCTGTTCTACCTAACTGTGTAGGTACTACTTGGTGTTCCCAACAATTGTAAATAATATTTTCTTTCCATATGCGCCCTATCTTGCTTCCCTCCTAAAAACATGGTGGCTTGCACTTGCACCCTAGGAGTGGTCATAATTCAACTATTTGTGGAAACATCCCCAAAAGATCATGTAGCTCTTAGATAACTGTAAGGATCTTTTCAAAATGAGATTAACTCTTGGTTACTAAGAGGAGGTTCCTAGAGAATGACTAGTTATTTATACTCACCCTATGGACAGTTATTCAGTTAGAAAGGTGGTACAAAATTTGTCTCTGACTTTAGCTAAAGTAATGAATGACATCACTTTAGCCTTTGAAGGCATTCAGGTTGATATCAACTCACTGTCCACACAATGTTATGAAAAACAACTGTCCTATATTTTCTCCTTGAGGACCAAGACAAAGTCTATATAACTACTAAAATCTTACCTGGATCAAAAGGAAAATGACCACCTGGTTGACTACACCGCTCACCAAGTTCCCCTACCATGCATGGTCAAAGTAAAACAAAAGTGGGAAATATATTGGGTCTCTATACGTTTTTGAAAACTCCCTTGACCTTCTTCCTCCTGAATCTTATGTAGGAAAGATCTTGGTGCCAGTGAAAAGGTCTCAGGCTGAGTGGAAAGGTCAGTACCGAACTTCAAGAGAAAGCCATCTAGCTTTCTAAGGTGGACGCTGATAGTTTATGGGCTTTGTTCAGGTAGTTGGGTCTGGGTCCCTGGGATTATGATAGAGGTTAATAATACAGGTTGTTCTCATCTTGCTGGTTGGTGTTGTGTTGGTAGTAGTTTTACTTAAGTGCTGTATGAAGCAAATTGACCAGATTTGATTCCAGCCTCAGTCAGTTCATCAGAGCTGTCAATGGAGTGCTACACTAAAGGAAATATTCACCAGAAGCCAAGATGGTGTAAAAGCGAGGTTTGAATATTGCTGAGAGACAATTCTACGTGGTTCTCTTGCATTTCTGTACATCTTATGAATGAGATACTGAGTTCCCTTTGATTAGACTATCTTTTCAAGGATCTTTATATACAAAGGAGACTTGGAAGATAAGCTATTGTCTCCTTCCAGAGCAAAGGGCAGGCTTGCTTACCATCTTGGAAATACTGTCTCCCTCTGAAGCAATGAACAGGCATGCTACCTTTCCAGTACAATAATGATAATATCTTCCTTTGGAACAAAGTACAGGGATGTTTACTGCCCATTCTAAAAGACTGAGGTTCCCAAAGCTTAGGGTGCCTTTCCTGTAATGCATGCCACTGTGTGTACAAAAGTCATCTGTTCCTATTCACATAGCCCTTTGGCAAGCGGGGCTTTGGGAACTGGTATAAACACTGATTCTCTAGTTAGTGCTTCTGCCGTGAGTGCTAAAATGTCCTTTTTCCCTGACCAGGAATCTCATATCTTCTAAAGTGTTTATGAAACTGTGGCAGGCTCACTAGTTAGCTTGAAAGGAATGTAAATGTCACTTCTTCACAAGCACTTCATAGTCATTATTCCACAGCAATAGTATCCTTCCTAAACTACCATATTAAGAAAAGAAAAATTGCCCAGGCCAGGGTGGCTCGGTGGGTTGGAGTGTCGTCCCATACACCGTCTGCAGGTTCAATTCCCGGTCAAGGCATATATGTAGGTTGCAGTGCAATCCCTGGGAGGCACCAATCGATGTTTCTCTCTCTCTCTCTCTCTCAAATCACTAAACATATCCATATCCTTGTGTGAGGATAAAAAAAAATAAGAAGAAAATAAAAATTAAATAACCATCAGTAGAGGAGGAATATGGCTTATTCATTTTATTTTTAAATGATGCTCTATAATATATTTATATGCTTAAATTAGGCGAGTAAAAAGGAACTGGCTACTAAAATACTTTCAACAAATGTCGTCTTTTGTCACTTGCCCTTCCTTCAAGCACATTTCCTTTCGTAAGTTTGATTCTACTTTTAGCCCTGAGTAGATAAACTGATAATTTCTCATCTTTTATGTCAATGGTGAAGAATATCAATGAAATGTGTTTACAAATAATATTTAAGGCTTCATGTTATCTGTCTGGATACAGTAATCATTTCAAAGCCAACAAATATGATGGCATCTGATAAGGTACATTTAATACCTCAACAGTTTATATAACTTTTATTTTCTCTGCGTGAAGCAATCTTATTATAAAATGTTTAAAAAGAAAAGTATAAATGAACATGAGATCTTTTATTAACATTTTCTTTTTTAATATTATAATACATAATTTTTGTGAAAATTTAAACACGACAAAAATGTATTACTTCAAAGACTAAAACACCCCTTAGTTCAAACTGCCAAAAAGCAGCTACTGTCAGTAGTTTGCCATGCAAATACTAACATAAATGTATTTTTAACATAAACGTGATAGTCTATATGTTGTTTTCACTTTATCTTGGTCCTACTGACAGATATTTCTGTCTTTAACAGCTGCAGTTACACAGTATTCCATTACTTTGATGGATGAAAATTTCTTATCTAACTCTATACTGATGGTGTTTAAGGTTGTTGCTGCTTGATTAACCAGCAAAAACAATGTTGCAGTGAATAGTCTTGTATTTACATTCTTAGGTACTTCTAAGTGTATTTTTGTTGGATAAATGCTCATGAAGATACAGGCATGCTGAATGACAGGGCTTGCATGAATAATACTATTAGGCTGATACAGCCACTAATTTATATTGCACAGTAATACCAGCTTAAAGTTCTGCTCTCACCTTTGTTGCCAAGGATTTGAGTTTTCCCAGTAGTGACTGCTTATTGGAATACACAACGTCTTCTTCGTTATCTTCTCCTTCCATGATAGCACAGCTGTCTGCAGCTGGGAGTTCACACTCTTTCGAGTTAGTTGTCATTACTAACTTGGAATATTTGTACTCCAGTCTAAGTAGCAGTAAGTAAACAGATAAAGTGGAGGTTTAATATAAAATAATACTTACTTTAATAAGCACCAGCTTATTAAATTGTCTTGTAGTATAGTTGCTCTACCGAAAAATTTCCCTCACCTACAGCTATCACACGATGTTTTCATTCATCTACCACTTACACACAAATCTTTTCCAGGATTTCAGAGAATCAATGCAATACAGTTAATTATATCATTATTTTACATTTGCTAAATTGTCCAATTACGAACTTTTGAAAAACAAAGAAAAACCTTGAGGTCTAAATGCATTTTCTTAATTTATAAATATTTGGAAGCTAATTCACTATACAGTGTTATAAAGCTTAGGCCATAAGGCTAAGAATAGCATACAGGCAATTGATTTGGTGTTTACCGTTTCTCTCTCAATCATTCTTTTCTATTAGAAGACCCCAGATATTTCAATTGTTCTGAGATATTATCATATAGAACTTTCATAACCCCACTGATACATAAATCATTTTTAAAGAGTCAAATCATGTAACACATTAATAAAAAAGCAGGAGTTAGACTCAATATTCAACTCCAAATTCTTAGAGTCCTTGAGTAAAGGTGATATCCACTTATACAGTTAGTCTGTTTCTTTGCAAATATCTGCCCCCAAGGAACTAAAAAAGGAAAGTTGGGGCAATAATACATCATGTCATGACAAGAAAAATAGACACAGAGAAAACCTGCCTTCAGATCTCAGACCTCAATAACCTGGGCCCTCTGTTTTTGTTTTGTATTAAATGGGTCTAATTCAATAATCTCTAATGTTCTATGATTTCTATATTATCAGAATTACAGTTACATCCCTTGGCTTTCTTAAGGGCCTTTCCTATAACTCCTTCACTAGAAGATACTTCTTGCGTCTCCAAGAGAAATTTGAACATAATGATTAAGTCTAAATTTTTCACAACAAAAAAGATCCTTCAGTTCTTACATGGTCACTCCAATGAGGTTACTTACTTCTGATTCTTCTTCCAGAAATAGCAAGTTAGAGCCACCAGCAAAACAGCTGTGAACGCTCCCACACCTGCTCCCACTTTTAGCCAAAAGTCAACTGTTTCACAGGTTGACGACTTTTTCTCAGGCAAAGAAATTCCTTTAATGCACCATTTTGGTTCATTCCACACATATAAGGTTTCCTTTAAAAAAAAGCACACACAGAGATGACATGAGAAATAAGATTCAGAGAAGGGTTTTGCTAACCCTTTATGTGTAGTCGGCGTACAGGGTTATTCAGCATTCATCTAGCAGAAGCTCCAGAGGTGTAGAAGATATAGAGAAGATACAGGAGAGAGAACAAGGACGTGAATTAAAATGCAACAAAACCAAATAAAACCATGGACTGTCAGATCAGAAGGCTTGCTACATGCTAAGCAAGTTGAATAAAAATGACTCCATCTGGAGATATCCTTTGGGCTATTTTCCTCATTTTTCTGATGATCTCTGACTTCTGATCCATGTTTTTAAATGAAAGCTTAGTTGTTTAATATCATTATAATTGGAATGTTTTCCCCTACAGGCCTCCCCACTAAGCAGAAGAGTAGATCCTGGACCCTGGGCACGTAGGTAAAATACGACTGGCAGGCTTTGGTGACTGGTGTAGGGGAAGGCAAACAGACTGCAGCCCTCTTCTCCATGCCAAAAAAGGAGGGCATTATTCTGGGTCATCACTACCCACAAGAGGTTCTTATTCTCAGCCTCCAAAAGATGACTCAATTTATTTAGGGCAATGTCTTTCACACTGCAAGTTGCAACTAACTAGCAGATAATTAAATCAACATATTGGGTTTCAAACAGCATTTTTAAAAAAATAAATAGATCAAATAAAACAGATTGAAAATAAAAACCAGAGTACAGTGCACGGTTCCTAATATATTTCAACATATGCAGTGACCAGTAGCAATCTGCATGATGATTATATCCAGTGACATTAAATGTCATGGGGCATTAAAGTTTTGCTCATGGTGTCTCATTAAATTTTCTGGTGTATGATGGTCACTTTATCAACACCCTAGCAGGATACCACTACAATGTTTAATTTGATTTTATACACACACACATTTTGCAGTTAGTCATGAAGTGACCGATGTGTGCAGAAGAATCGTATTTATTTACTTTGAGAAAAAGTTTCAACCAAGTCTGCATAAGAACTTTCAGCATGTTTTTCTTAAAAGGACATTAAAATGAAGAATTTTTTTAGTGCATGATAACTGTAACATTTTCTTTAAACTCAGTGTGAATAAATTACTTTTAAAATGGGTCACAGTTTTATGAGAAAGATGTGAGAAATGAAGAGGCATATGCAAGTTGAACTGATGCATCTCTAAGTGTAAGTAATGATAATAAAGAGACAAATGTTCACCCCAGTCAGCAGATGTTGACTGCATCTGAAGTGCATTCCAACAGGAAAACAGACCATAAAAGGGTTCATGTGGTTTTATTAAATGTCCAACACCCAGTGAAAGTGGTAAGCTCTAATGTCTAATGTCAGTCCTCTACCTAAAGTGTTAAAACTTGTAAACCCAGTATGCTTAACTTTAAGCTCTTCAAATTGCTAGGCCCAAAAAAGTCAGGCTATTGGCAAAATTTCTTCATCATCTACAACTTAGTCATTTTGGACATTTCTTAGTTGCTTTATTAATTAGAAAGATTCATGCCTTCATTTGGTGACATGTCATTGGCCAACAAGAAAATGGCTGACAATACAGCTGAAAACTTTATTCTTCCAGCAAGTAGGGATATTTTGTGAACAGGGTGAGATAAATTTGATGAAAATTTTAGAAACATTCCTCTTAGTGATCACACAGTACCTCTTCAAATCTTTACTACTATCTGACATTTAGAAGTAATGCTTAATGCATCCTTAGAACCTACTATCGATTTTTGAGATCCAATTTGATAAGAGCACTTTTATCACACATTGTACAGCTCTTTTAGCTTCTATCAGCTATATGTGGAGGAGTTGTACTGTGTAATTTTAACTTTATACACATCTGGATTAGATGTAACTTACAGAATCAGGAAACCGAAATATAAAATGAAAATTTACAAAGGATGGAGCAGGACCTTGGGCATAAATACAGTGGAATTAATTAAAAGTTAAAAGATACCCGTAGCAATATTTTGCAATCACTCTCTTTTTCTATCAAAAGGCTTTGGCATCTGAAGAAATCCACCCTTGTTTGTGGACATAATGGAAAACACAGTGAGACTTGCCCTCTCAAGCTCATGGAAGAGCAGACTTTTGAAACATTTCATTCAGAGATTGGAGGTAAACGTATCCACTTACAACACCACACCCATTTGTTTGTTGCTGCAGTGGAACACACTAAGCAAGATGTATGAGCTTAGAAATGACATTCATATTTTTCTAGCTGAAGCTTGATCTCATTTGGCAAATATTTTCAAAATTGACATCTAAGTATAACAAAAGGGCATAATTAATTTTGGTATTTCTCAAATTAAATTGAAAATATTGGGGAGTCGTATATTTCAACATGTCAAATACATCAGTGTTCCAAAAGATATTATTCTTAAGGTCAAAACAAATACTTAAAAAGAGTCACCTTGCAACTATGTGTTCCTAATATTCTTATAACACGTTGAACATAACTTTTTCAATGAAGATAGTTTGAGATAAAATTAGAGGAGTTGTTGCCACCTCATTATCTTATGCTTCTAAACATTACCTTCCAGAATAGAAATATTAAATATTAAAGAATATTTTAATAAAAAGTAGTTTAGCTTTTCAAAACTCGAGTTAAACTTACTAGCTGAAGAAGGGAATGCATCTTAGTTTTCCATTTACTCTTAAAAAATGATTATAATAATTTTATCATAATTTTAGAGAAAAGGTAAAGATGAATTTCCATTATGAAGCATTAAAAGTATATCATTATTATTATGAGGATTTAAAAGGCATCATGTTTCGTGACTCTGAACTTTTCATCCTTGACCTACTTAAAAATGTCAAAAAAAACTGGTTCAACAGTCACTAGATGTGTGAACAGCACTGTCTTTCAATGCTCAGTGTACGACTTCAGCTACCTCAGCATATGGGGGTTTAGCTACCAAACTTGATTTTAAATGCAGTCACTTAATGTCACATTAAGTGAACTATAAGCTTTAGTCCTGCTCTCAAATCTGAGTTTCTATGATGTATGCAATGTTAAAGTGAATAATTATATTTTCAGTGGCACAGTTCTGCTTAGATTTGCTCCTTACCTGAAACCCTCTCTTACAGGCTCCCTCAATCTCATGGAAGTCATGCTCTGTGCAGAGAGGGCAAGCTTCAGCACTCTCCCACAGGAAGTAGAACGTACATCCATCACAGGTGCCTGCTGGACACTTGCTGAAATAAAAATTGAAAAACAACAAAAATGACAGCTTTTGTAGCACATTCAATCAAGTCCAATCAACAAGTGAGTGCATACTGCATGCTGGGAAGCAATGCATGGATACTGAGGGAACATACATAAAAAATAATCTAAAGGAGACAAAACCACAGTGAGATACCACTTCATGCCTCCTAGGGTGGCTAGAATCAGAAAGACAGATAATAACAAATGTTGCAAGGATATGGGGAACCTGGAACCCTTACTCACTGCTGATAGGAATGTAACATGGTGAAGGTGCTGTGGAATAATCTGTTCCTCAGACAATTAAACAGAAAGTTACCACATGATCAGCAATTCCACTTTTAGGTAAATACCCAAGAGAAATGAAAACATGTTCACATAAAAACTTGTACATGGATGTTCATAGCAGCATTATTCATAACAGCCAAAATGTGGAAACAACCCAAATGTCCATCAACATTAAGATGACGAATGGATAAACAAAATGTGGTATATCCTTACAATGGGATATCAATCAGCCATAGAAAGGAATAGAGTACTTGGATGGACCTCAAAAATATTATGCTAAGTGCAAGAAGCCAATCAAAAATTCCATATGCTATATATGCACAACCCAAGGACACGGACAATGGTGGGGAGAGGGTCTGGGGAGGGGGAAGGGACAGGGTGGAACAGTCATTGGGGAGAAAAATGGACATCTGTAATATTTTAAACAAAAATAAAAATTTTAAAAAAGGAAGAAAAAAATAATAAAATAAAATCTAGATCCCAATTCTTAAAAAAAAAAAAAATTCCATATGCTATGCGTTGTTATTCATATTAAAGTCCATAATAGGGAAATTGATAAATAGAAAGTAGGTTAGTAGTTGCCTAGGGCTAGGAAGGGGGTTAGAGTGCAGGGAGGTGATAAAGGGTATGGGGTTCCTTTTTGAGAAAATAAAGTTCTAAAGTTGACTGTGATGTCCACATACATAAATATATAATAACTATTTAACTGTATGCTTTAAATGAGTGAATTGTAATGGTATGCAAATTATATCTCTATAAAGCTGTGTTTTAAAATTTTAAAGGAGAGACAGGCACAGATAATGACAAAAAAATTAAAAAGCTCTAGGAAGGTCTCTTGGTGGAAGTGATGCCTAAACCAAATCTAGAATATTCTAGAATAGTAGGAGTTAGCCAAAATAGGAGGGAAGAAAAGAAGGGAATTCATACCACAGGGATAAAATGGTAGATAAAGTGGGAGGAAATTACAAGCAGGTCCTTGTGGCTGGAGCTTCAAGGGCAAGGAAGTGAGTGAGCAGCGGGCACCCAGGCAGGCACTGGGTGCTAATGGGAGGTGGTAATTTCTGTTTAATGTAATGTACGGAGGCAAGGTGCTTTAGGGAACAGAACGATACACAGGACCGTGGGCCACAGAAGGCGGGAAAAGACATGAAAACAAAATTGTCTAAAGTGAAAAAACAAACAAGGTCCCCGTCAGGTCAACACGGAGCTCACTGATGCAAATGCTTTTGCCATCCTGGGTCTCCTGGGCCTGCCAATAACGTCCTTCGAGAGGTGGTTACATTCATCACTCGGCGATGACACGTGAAGTTTAGACAGGCACCAATTTAGACACAGGTGCAGCCACCAGGCAGGGACTGAAGGGAGACTTTTTGAGCTCTGCTTTCTGGTGGGTGGGCCTACTGTTATCAACTTGCCACTTTCATTTTAGGGGCAGATAAACACAGCATGGCTCAAAAATTAACCCGGTGCTACTGTGTTCAGAATCCTTACTGGCTGAAGGAAGAAGGTACTTGGAAAAAATTCTAGTGGGAATGATTGTTTTGTTTATCAATCCAGTAAAACTAGGGAAATACTACATTTTTACGTAACTGTCTTTCCAAAGTGCCCATGTGCTGTAGACTGAACATGGGTGCAATGTAAATAAAAGCAAAATTCTTTATAATGTGCTTCAGAAACAGAGGCCCACTACTGTCAGAGCTAAGAAGAATGGTGAACAGTAATTCTTTGAAAAAACTGACTTGACTCATAATTTCTCTGTTTGTAAAAAGGGAGTAATAAATATATTCAGAATAATAAACAAAAAGAGATTTTTTAAAAGGTAAGTGCAATAGGTGAAAACTATGTCCATTAAAAAAATTATTCCTAATGTCCACTTTCCAATTTTGGGAAAATAATGGGTAACCAATCAGAAAAATTCTTCAAGAATACAATTATTATTTTCTTAACAATGACTTGCAACTTTAAAAATAATTACACTTTTCTAACTGTTTAGCGAATATTACCAATATGCTTTCCTACTCAAGTCTCGCCTCCCCAAATTGTTTTCTATTTTATCTTTCCAACATAGGGAAGTTTTAAGGCAGGGAGGAGGGAAGTTTATCTTGGGAAATAAAAGAATAAGCCAGCTAAAGTTTGAGAAGAAAGAACTCAAATAAGAAAGAGAGAAAATTAATAAAAGTTCCAAAAAGCTCTGCAAAGAAGGTTTGGATTACAATTCTAACTAGATTTTCAAGTGACTGTGTTTTTCCTAAGTGACTCAATGCCCCTCCCCACCATCTCATTATTGTAATTTGTCAAAAGCAGAGTGTCTGCTATACTGCTTTCACAGGGTGGTTATAAAGGATAAAATGAAAGAACAATTTGGGAAAGTTTAAGACACTGCAAATATAAAACACTGTTAACAATGCACATCACTCTCTAAAGAACTGGTAGAGCTACAGGAACAGAAAAAAGCCAGTCAAGACATTGATGTGCTTCATAAGCTGCCATGAGGTGTCAAAATACTACAATGATTCAGTGCGTTTCCTTGGTAGACTTCACTTTTTAAAAGAAATTCTTAGGTTAAAAGCAGTTTAATTTAGAATCAATTCTTTAATTCTTTTAACCCAATGAATCATTTAAAATGAGGAATATTCAAATTTGATTCTTTGTTATAAATATAAGTTTCACAGCTTGAATCAGGCCTTCCCTGTGAAACAAGGATGTATGAGGCAGTAATAATTTCAATGGTGCTCAAAAAGAAAATGCAAATAGAAAAAAAGAGATGCAAGAGAAAAATATATATATTCTCCTACCGAGAGAACAAAAAGTAAATACCAAGATAAACGCTTTATTGCCAAATATGTGCAATACTTTTTCCTTTTGATGACCTGAGTCACCACCATCTTCACTCCCTACCCCCATCTTTCTAGAGATGTCACTAACTGTGCTTCTTTTATAGCCTTTGGTCCATGCGATCACCATAGAAACTAGTGAGTAAATGTTTAAAGACAGGACAAGGACAGGGATAGCTGGGGCATGCAAGGTTAGAGCTCCACAGCATGACCTGTGCTGTGAATTCTAGGTGCAGAGACCATCTTAGATTCAAAGGACACCCAGGTGAACCTTGATTTGGTTTCACTAATAAATGAGGAAGAGACCTTCCAGTTTATTTTGCTTTTGGAATTGCCTTACCAACCAGGGTGGCACTGGCAATGCATAAGAATTCAGATGAATCTCTTTTAGGAAGTTGTATCTTGGATTCTAAAATGGAATACATTTCCAGGGGGCTTAACTAGACTGAGCTATGAGTTATTAGTGTCCTCTTTTAAATGAATCATCTTACTTAAAGCAGAATCTACCTTGCTCATATTATGAATTCATGGAGAAAAATTTTGTTTTCTTTGGAACCATTATGGCCTAACACTCAACCAATTATTAATTGTTTGGAGAGCTGATAAAGCAGTGTAAAATCATTTTCCCCAAGCTTTGTTCAATATCCAAAGTTAAAACAAAGTCACCTATGTTGTCAGTGTATTTCTGATCCTTCTGGAATTAGTCTCAGGAGACCTGGAGGAAAGGCCAGAGTCTCGTGTGCCTAGAACACTTCTCATTTGATGTTAGGGCACTAATGTTGCTGAGCTTCTTTCATGTGGGGCTTTGGTGGGTTTCCTGAGGTTCCCAGTCTTGAGGTCAGAAGACTAACATCCTCTGGGATGGACGATGCTCTCTGACCTGCTGCTAGTGACTCTCCTCAGCTTCGGCATCTCAGGAAGGTCAGCCTTTCTCTGCTGAGGATGCCTTGTCATTGGCAGAAAGCCTTCTTGTGCAGGATCCATAGGATGCTGTTGCATCTTGCTCCAATTTTGTTTGCCCTAAGGCTGAAGAGTATAAATTGCTTTTGACTAGGTTTTAACATAAGGTAGTTTGACCCACAGCTCTTAGATTCAGGGGTATAAAATTCTACCAGTCTCCTGCAAAAGCCTCATTTTCTAAATACCACCCTGGGTTAATAACCAAAAGTCAGCATCTGATCAAGACCTGGACCAACATTAACTGACAATTCCTAGCCCTTTTTATCTATAGACTCTGTATCTTCTACGGTGAAACAAATACCTGTCAAAGCTTTGGCAACCTTATTTCAAAATTGAGCCTAAAATTTTATGACTGTTCTGTGATACTTTTATATCATGTCTTAAGATTACTCATTAGTGTCTGAATTGTATAATTTTAATAATTCTGTATTAGAGTTTTTCCATTTCTTGATCAGAATGGGTTTTAGTTGTTTTTGCATATGTGCATAATGCTTTTATATGTCTCCTTACTTTTTAGTGTTATAAGACCATATTTGGTTTTAATCTTTTCAGTTCTATTGCCTTTTTTTTACTTAACTTATACATATTTATATGTCTATTACTTGTCCATAAATAGTGCAGAGGAAAAAGAAAACAAGGAACTCATTTAATCAATAATTTTTCTCTTGCTTTAACAACTTAAATGAACAGACTTTGGGCTTTAACGGTCCTGCCCCAAAGACCAAGGAAAACACTATACTAGCATCCAGTAACGTTGAAGACTCTAAATCAGAGCCCGTGGAATAAACCCTGGCACATTCAACCACTGACCACTATCAAGACAGGGCTGTGAAACATCCCTTTTCTGAGAGACAATATTCTCAGAGGCTACACTTACAATGAAGATGAATTTGGAATCTGAAGGAGGTTTTGGCAAAATAATTTTAGACTGATTTATAAGCTATCCGAGCAGTTAAATATGGTTGTAAGTTTTGAGAGAGTGAGGATGCTGATTTTTCCTCTAACTATAACATTAATAAAGAAGACTGCATTTGAGGCAAGATGACTCATTAAAGGAAGGCACCAACAACATGCAGACCAGTCGAGTTATCCCTGGATAAATGTGATATCTGCCTCCACTTAATGTGCTTCTTTGCAATCTCCACCTATAAGGAACTGGAGGGGGGAAAAATAAAAAGATGAAAATATGATGGCATGAAAAGAGCAACAGGCACAGTCAGGAAATCATTCAGTCCTGACTGTGCCACTCGTTTCCCACTGGGAATGGTAAATGGGTTTGACGTAAGGATCTACTGTGCTATGATATCTCTATTATCAAAGTAAAACTGGTTCCCTCTGTTTTCTAATAAGACTTTTTTATAGCCTTTTCTCTCTCATTTTTGAAAGAGCACTTTGGACACAATGCTTAGGTCGAATTATTCCTAATGAAAGGAGAACCTTCAATTCCTCTAACCACCTAGGATCATGATTAGAGGTTTGAAAAGCCTTTTAGGCAGAGGCTGGAGGGGCCTCTATTTAGGGATATTGGTGGTCTATTGTGTTAGCAATGTATTCTTTGGCCAAGGTACAAACTGCACTAGGTAATCTCAAAAATCCACTCCAGCTCTCAGATTTCATCTACCACAGACATCATGCAGTTAAGTTTTTATCTAAAATGTCTCACACCCTCCAGACACTTTGTGGAATTAGAAACCAACTGCATTTGCCAGACCAAACAGACAGACTGCTGATTCCAACTGCAGATTAGTAGGCAGTCGCGATAATTTGCTGCTCTCTCTAAATTCCACATGAGCTACACTGAGAACACATATTTCCCCCTTTCTCCTGCCTTATTCATGGTCTGTTAAGACATTCTCATTTTCTCAGGGCTGGAGGTCTCATGACATTTTTCCCAGGTTATCAAGGTACTGAGCCCCAACCAACATAACTACTGCCAACATTGCCTTTGCCTGGTTTCCAAGATTCTTGGCCAAGGTGCATCCCTCCAGGTCTGCCAGTCTCCCTTCTGAGACTTCCTGAGGCAACTGCCTGGTTAGCACCTTCCTCTCTTAGCTGGAGAATTTAAAGCTCGCCCCCCCCCCCAGCCAAAATGCAAATTAAGTCCTCTTCAAAAGTAGCCTAAGTATCTGGCTTTGTTAACAATTATTTACCATTAGGAGGAAATCACAAATCTTTATTCTGCCTTGCAGCTAAATATAATCCTAATTATTTCAGAACAAGCTGCTGTTTCTCCTGTTCTGATCCCAGAGCTCCCCCTTGTGCCCTGATGGGAAATTGATTCAAGAAAGAACTAAAGGTCAGCACATTTCGGTTGTGGCGGTTCAAGCAGTTCCTTAGGACAGTAGTTCTCAAACTTCAGTGTGCATCACAATTGTAAAATAAAGTTCTATCAAAATATGGGTGAAGAAATTCACCCTTTAAATCATGACACTTTACACTGGCTTTTCAGGAAACTAAAATGCAGAACAACACCGTTAAAGGATCTGTCTCAGAAAAAAACAAGCCAAATCTCTAAAACATGGGTTAAAACCGGTGTTTCTTAAATTTTAGTATGTATCAGAATTGCCTTGTGTTTTTAAAAATATTCCATGCTGACTACTCAGATTCTTTAGATTTTTAGGGGCAGTCTAGAAAATGATTTTAAAATAGACACCCCAAGGTATTCCTCTGCAGGTAATCTTGAGAAACCCTTGAAAAGACAGTTAAGGTTCTGAAGTAGAAAAATCTGCTAGAGATCAAAGGAGAAACTTACTTTCCTCTCCTCACAACAAAAAATCAGTTTCTAGATGCCATCATTTAATATCATGAAACTATTTTTTTATTATTACTTTAAAAACTCACCTAGGGATAGTTCGAGAAATATATTTTCTAAAAGACCTAGCCTTTTAGCAACATTATCTGCTTGAGTCAGAGATCTGGAGGAGGCTTTAGAAGTCATCCATATGACCCCTAGAGGCTAGGCCCAGAGAGGTTCGTTGCTAGGTCCGGGAAGGACCTCAGAAGTGCTAGAGAGAACAAGCATCTGAACTCAGAGCCATAAGGTGGGGCACCGGAGCATGATTAAAGAATCTCTACACACACACACTCATTAAAAAGGTGTGGTTTGCTGCCTGGACCTTAGCATGGACGCAGGCACAGGGATCTTCCATCACGTGACACTGTGGGGGTTCAGAACGAGCCACTCCAAGATGTGCCTCAGTGGTATACAGATTACTTGGAGCTAAAGGCAATTTTAGCTTCGGGCTCAAGAAAAACTTTGGCCCCTCCCTTTAACTACTATCTATAGGGCAGGGCAAACTTCTATTTACTAAAGGTCCTTGAAGCCCCCAAGGTGCCCTCATCCCTGGCTCCGAATGTCTTATGTGCCTCAACCCCCCTTTCTATCTCTGAACCTCTCCTGCATGTGGGTCTCTGACTCTCTCATGTATGCAGGGTTCCCATACATATGTATGTATTAAATTTGGTTATTTCCTCTTGCTAATTTGCTTCATGTCTGTTTGATTATTAGAGGAGCCAGAAGAACCTTGAGGGCAGAGGAAAGTTTGTTCCTCCCCCACAATGCCCTTGAGCACCAGGCTCCCTGTTTACTCCGCTGAAGTAATTACCTTTTATCATGTACTCTTCTCGTCACATTCTTAGAAAAGATGAAAAGAAAAATTAAGTCATAAATGGGTGAGGAACCTTTTCTCTGCCAAGGGTTATTTGGATATTCATAACATCATTCACTGGCCTTACAAAATTATCAACTTAAAAATTAGCTATGAAAAAAGCTCCTAGATTTATTGAATTTTGAGTCCCGCCTGTGGCTGCCTTGGCAGGGCCAGGCCAAATGATGTTGTGAGCCGTATATATGTTCTCCACCCCCAATCTATAAGAACCAGAGAAACACAACTGTTAAGAGGTGAATGCTAGTGTGCCCTCATGCCCAGAAATAAGCCTCAAATACTGTGTTACCACTGTAATTATTTTCAAGATGCCCAAGTAATTGAAACAATGTCCAGACCACTGGTTTCCAATCCTGATGTTACATAAGCAGGATAACTTAAGATTTCTCAAGAGTTACTGTGAAACTATCAAAAACAAAATTAAGTCAATCATTTTCTTTAAAAATTATAAACTTTGCTAGCTTGATGAAGAAAAATCTGCAAATCAAACTACAATCCGAAGGTACCTTGACCCTAAAAAGATTAGAATAAATAATCTACATACTGAACAATGAGTAATTGTGAAAAATAAAAATCAGGAGACATTTAAGTTTCACTCTTGCATGAAAGCTGTCTTTATTTGACAGTTCTTCTGAGTCCATGAAATTGTTTACTTTCTCCTAGAGTCCCCACACAAAGCGCGCTGTATTAAACCGATCTGCCAATCAGTTAAATGAACGGTATTATGTATTCTATAGGTCAGACTCCACCTTGGTGTTTCACCACCATTAATCAGAAAACTCAAGAGTTAGAAATGGGTCGTACAAATTATCCACCCCGGTCTCATCCCCTCACAGAGAAAGAAACCATGACTCAAAGGCCGGATTACTTAATCTAGATCACCCAAATAGTTCATTGTTGATAAAGAATTATAACCCAGGAAGATTCCTAATCCAACTCTCAAAGAATTAAGGCTAAATAGTAAGAATAAATACAAGGATACAAACAGTATAACTATATATTACTTAATCAGTTTTTTAAGAGATTGAGACACTCAGGCAAACAGTTTGAGAATATGTCATTGAGCCCGGCCGGGCGTGGCTCAGCGGTTGAGCACTGACCTAGGATCCAGGCGATCAGGGTTCGATTCCCGGTCAGGGCACATGCCCGGGTTGCGGGCTCGATCCCCAGTCGGGGGCGCGCAGGAGGCAGCTGATCAATAACTCTCTCATCATTGATGTTTCTATCTCTCTCTCCCTCTCCTTTCCTCTCTCTGAAATCAATAAAGATATATTTAAAAAAAAAGAAGATGTCATTGAGACTGGGAAGTGCTGAAATGGAGCAAGACCTCTTAACAGGCAGGAGCATAGCCCTACAATCCAAACCTACAGATTCCTCGGTTCTCCTCCTGCTTTACAGCCACAGAGAAAAATGTTTTAAAATATTAAGATTCTAGAGTTTTGCTTCCTCATAATAAATACAAATGTAAATAATCATTTAGAAATAAGAATACCTGGGGACTGAAATCACTCCAGCGCCTGGTTTATTAGGATTACATCTCATTTTCACCGCAGTTGACCGGCCATTAACACAAGATGTTGTAGCTGTAGAAGACCTATTGTAGAGCAAGTATCATTTTACAAAATATATATGACACAGATAACAAAGACAAAAATATCTGCATATAATAACTCCTATGCCATATAAACAAATGAAAAAGAAAAATGTATCAAAGTTCACTAATTTAGAATTTTAATACAAATGGAACTCATTTTCTTTCAACAACTATGAAAAGTTAACTATTTTCCCAGGTAAAGTGATAAGTTATTTTCAAGGTGTTTATTAAAGCTTCCATAATTAAAATCAAAATTATAATCAAAAGAAATTTTAAAGGGAAAAATGTCATATCCACTCAGGCTGATGTTTTGATGTGTAAATTGCAAATAAGTACTGCCAACACAGCAGAGTCTATTTATTGCCTAATTTAAAATATAAACATGAGGGAAATTATTCCATGTTCTCTACTTTTTACTAAGGCTTTATTTAAGAAGCAATTACTGATTATCTATTAATTATAAGTTCCTACGCTGGCACCCTGAAGTGACATAGATTAAAAAAACTGTCAAGGAAAACAGCATCGTCACTTACTTGTAAAAGAAATGCACATCTGGTATTTGGCTCCGTGGAACTGGGAACATATCTTCTTTTATATTAATATCTTGCAATGTGGTTTCAATTGTCACTCCTCGATGACAATAAAAAAGATACAGTTGAGCAATATGGGAAAATTAAGTTTATTTAGTTTCTGTATACCTGAATAGAAAATAGCTTTACTTCGATACTGTCATTTCACTAGAAATATTGTATTAATTTAATGCCTGCATGGTAAGAATAAGAAACTTTCCCAAGTCTCTGGGGGAAAAACAAAGATTCTACTCCCCAGCTTTACTTCCTTGGGCCTTATATCCCGAATCTGTAAAATGCATGTAATAATTCTAGAAATATTCTAATTAGAATATCTCTAAAGTCCCTTCCACTTCTAACATTTGAACAATCCACCAGTTTGTGTTGTCAAATGAGCTGGGCTACTTTGCTAATGCAGCTTTTCTTTCACATTCATTACAGGCATATTTGACCCCAAAAAATTCTTGTATCCTAATAATTTCCAAAAAATAACTCCAAAATGTGCTTAATCTAAAAGTAAGAAATCTAAAAGTAAGGCATTTTTCCCCCTCAGCAAAGTGATGGCAAAGCCAAAATGCAAGCAATAACAGCAACTTTCGCTTCCGACACAGTTCTGATGTTGAGCTCAAGCTCCGCAACTGACCTTGGTGCTGAAAAACAAACTAAATTCCTCTGGAATCTATAGCAATGGTTCTCAAATCTGGCTGCATATTAGAATCATCTAAGAAGCTTGTTAAATGTGTTGGAGTGTTATATGCCTTGTTAGGTTCCTAATCCCCACCTCAGAAAGTCTAATAAACATGATTCCTAAGAATTACTAATCAGGGGCCTGAATTCTTAAAATTTTCCTATGCTCTTGACACCACATAGATAGATGAGCAGATGGGGAATAAAACTCGGCACATTCACCTCTGCTACTTGTCACCAGCTTACTTGTGGTATGAAAAAAGATGATGAAAACTGATGGCAGATATTATGATTTAGGTTTCTATCTGCTTACTGTTCTTCTTTTGTTTCTAGTTTTGGTGTTTTAAATTATTTTGTCTCTTAAACTCCTAGAGGATCTGATATAAGGCCAACTCTCAGGAAACACATATCACATGTGAGTTAATACATAAATTCAGAAGCTTCCTGTATTTACTGAGATTAATCAATGCACCTCACTTGTAGGGACTTTTTAACCATGTCACAAAGTGATGATTTAGAATTACCTGTGGGCTTTAATCATCTATGATAAACACCAATGTAACTGACAAGTTATCAGTACCCTAATTTTAGAAAGAAATTCATGCATGCTTATATGAACGAAATGAAGCTTACCTAAAAATGTGTCTGCCAGAATGATGGATTGAGAAGATAAAGCTGCTCGGAAACCCTTACTTTCAGAAGGAATAATAGTTGACTGGCATACAAACGCTCCTACCAGATTCGTGTAATCATCTGAGCCTGCCACCATGTCCTTTACTGTAAAGTCTGTTATATTGTTGGTACAGAGAGCCATCTTCTCTCCCTAGGAAAACAAAGTCATAAGAAGTTTAATTGAAGGTCACTCTCTAAACTGGACCTCAGCTAGCTAATGACTCTAGTAGAGCAGTGATTCTCTCCTCACTGCACTTCTGATTTATCAGATCTGGTGGGAGGCTCAGCCACCAGTATTTTTTAAAAGCTCTTGAGGCAATTCCAATGTTCTACCAGGGTTGAGAGTCACTGAAGTTATGACAAACACATTAATCCAAGGCTGCATTCTCCCTCCAACTACAAGCATCATTTGTGCTAGATGCAAGCCATCCAACTAAGGAAGTCAAGTCATCTATGAACTCTTCAAGTCATAGGATAACAATTCATACAAAGAGACTAGAAAACTGCTGATGATGGTTTTAATGCCAAGGAAAAGACCTGCACTTCATAGGCTGATGTGTGCCGGAAAGGTGATGTGAAGGCTGAAGAAGAAAGCATGAAAGCCGTCTTTATTCACATACTCTTAGGTTCAGCAGCGTGCATCTGCTCAGCTGCACAGTAAGTTGAAGGGAATACAAGGATTTACTTTTTAATCATTTGGAGGGTGGTTGGAACATATAATTTATAAAAATTGGAAGGCTCTTTAAATATAGTATGTTTAAATATACTGTAGTCCCAATGCAAAGGACTATAGCTTGCCCTCTAATTTCTATGAAGAAGCGTACAAAGGGAAAAAGGAACACTATTTTCCTGGGCTTAGATGTAGAGTGCGCACAGTGAACATAAAGGAAAGAATCAAGATTTCTCTTTGTTAATGCAGCTGGCAAGCCTAACCCATGAAGCTGGCTCCCTCCACCAAGCCGCCTCACCACAACACAGGTGCAACATATTTTTACTAAGCTTACATTAAATTTTTGAAGCCAAAAAAAGAGAAAAATGGACAAGAGCAGAGAGAAGCTACTGAGAAAGGAAAGAGGAAAACAATAGTAAACAGAAAGGGATGGGAATATAGAGAAAAGAGAGAAAGAAGATGGAAAAGATGGAAGAAGAGACAGTGGTAATACAGGAATGAGACTTAGAAGTGTGATATAATGGAATTAATCTTATCCATTGCTTGACACAGTGGTAAACATAATAGGTACTTAATACATATTTATTTGTTGAGTACATTAAGTGACTAACCAATTAAGTGAGTACGTAAAATTAGGACAAGACAAATGTCATGCCCATGTAAAATTTATAGATTTTTTTTAGAACACCTGTGATTGTTAAATCTCTTTATTTCCTTTGTACAAAGTCTGGCACAGCACCTCATAATAAAGAGCATTAGAAATACAGGAGTTAATATAGAAAGAGATATGAAGAAAAGGCCTTATATATGTATATACATCCCAACCCCGACCTTGTATGCCCTGAAAAATATTGAACATCTAGTTCTGTAACTCTCTCCATTACCAGTGTCAATTAAGATTCTGCTTCCTCCCACAGAAAATAAAATTCCTCTATTTATTAGCAGAGGCTACCTGATCAACTGACATTTGTCCCCTGCTTAACTCATTTTTTTTTTTAACGAACTTCCTCTTGGAAATTCTTTTTAAAACACAAAATTGACAATATTATAAACAATAAAACTTTCTCAAACTATAACTGCCTGCCCCAAAAATAGGAGGGATGATAAGCCTGATCCACTTTTACATAAGTGAAAGATCCTCAATGAGCTTACATCACAGCTCCAAGCTTTGGGGTTCAGGACTGGATGAGTGCTTTGATGGACTGAGAACCTGACAAGGTTGCCCCTGGTGGAGAAAGCTGCCAACCAACATGCTAGGAAGCAACAGAGGATTTAAGCAATCAAAGCTCTTTCCGATATCCGGTTGTTAGTTTCCATAGAGATTTTACTGGGCCACTGACATAGAAAATATCAACTCAGTCTAAGAAGAAATATAGCTCCATCTCACCTTTGCAGTCAGAACTCACCTCGTGCCCACACAAACTAATATTGAAGAAATGGAAGTATTTTGTTCCTTTGGAAGTAAAACTGGGGCCATTCATTAACGAGCCCACGCTGCTGAGGTTGCTGAAGTCATAGTGCAAACTCTGATTTTCTTTCTCATGGTAGAAAAAGCAGTCACTATAGCAAACTGAGTGGTCCTTTGATTAAGATTAAGAAATGTAAAAAAAAAATTAATAATACAGCAGGAAAGGAAGTATTCGTTACTTTGAAAAATGTGTTTCAAAATAGGTTCTAGGTTTAAATTCTGTTTTAGTAATTTCATCTTAGTTATATTTTACCATACTAATACAGAGAATTTCTACAGGGTATGGCAAAAGTAGGTTTATAGTTGTGAGTACGTGAAACACAGAGCTAAGAAAGCTATTGCAATAATCATAACCTGCATGACTTTTTCCATATGAACAACCATAAACCTACGTTTGCCCACCCCTGTATATATGCTAACTAGATTTTCTTAGGCAAAGTTTAGAAGATTCAGAACTATTTAAAGTAGTTATTCCAAGTTTAGTATCTTGTAGAAAGGTGTTTTAATGGTCAAAAGTCCCTTTGATATCCATTTAAATAGACAATAAAACTGCTTTCTCCTTCACCCATAATATGGCATCATCCTTTGTCCTTAAAATGTTATGACATCCTTGCTGCTCTCCATATACTCCTATCACCAACCTACAGAGGTTGTTTACTTGCTCTGCCTTAACACACAAGAAATCAATTTTAATATTTCTGGAAAGCATTCTTATTTGAGTGCTTCTCTTAATATTTTATGTCCCCAGAAACTAGCACTTACATGGAACATATTAAGTAAGTGATCCATAAATGTAAAAGGAGAGAAAACAAGAAAAGGAATGAAACGGTCATTTATAAATGTAACTAGCAACCTTGTAGCTCCTGAAGAAACATGACAGGGAACTTTTGAGTTTCTCTATTAAAATGCGCTCTCCCGGGGATGACTACAATGCAGACTCACTTACCCGAGTGCTCCTACTCCCAGGCCCACATGGAATACAAGCCTCCTTGCCATAGACCTGACGTACGGACAGGTAGGTGTCAGGTGGACACTCCTTGCACTGGTTGGTTTCTTTCTCAATGTAGTGGCCTGGGGGGCAGGGGACACACGATGAGCCCGACTGTTCAGAACCGAGGGCACAGGCACGGCATGAGGACGCCACCCCGTCAACTGCATTAGTGGCAGTGATAGAATAAATCTTCACCATGTCATTGATGAACCGTCTATTCTAAAAAGAGAGCAGAAAGTAATGACTTCTGCTTTGGGGCTTAATCGGACAACCAGATTGCTTTATGCTAATATCACCAAAATAAGCAGAGTGTTCCAGCCTTATAGTTTATAACTGAACACGGATTAATATTCTTGCTTTGGGTTCTTTTTTCTTTAAAAATCTTATATCTTAACACCAGAAGCTAATTTCCACAGCAATAGAGTTCCAGGAGTTTTGTCACCATCACCATAGATATGTCCTAATTGGTACTCGCGTGGGCGTATTTTATAGACTTGACATCTGGAAGAACTAGCATGGTTTAATAGAGGAGCAGCTTTATCTCCCATCATCGTTTAATATAAGCCCAAACCTAATGCTACAGGAGAGTGTTGACAGTGTGGCCAGATGGAAGCCTTGGACTAACTTGGAAGACTAAGACTCTGGCCCTCGCCCAAAACACTAACTGTGCAATATTGATGCAATCATACGACTTCTTTGGACCTTCCTCTCTCTCTCTAGTACTTTCCCTAACCAACACTCTCTGACATCCACTGAAAGGATTTGGAAAGGAGAGCAAGGATCTGTGGCTTACTATACTTTTTCTTGTTGAGACACTGGGTCAATAAAGGTCTCGTTTTCATCAGTACAGAGCAGCACTACCATAGGCTACTTAATGCTTTTTGTCTGGAGCAAAGACAAAAGGAAGACAAGGAAGCATCCCATGGCATGTTCATGCCCCACATGATGGTAATCTGAACGCTTCTAAGTAACAATTAGAGTCAAGTAAAATTTGGGGAATGGGTTCCCCAGCGAAAGCCTCAAGAGAAAATGCTGCATCTGCATCCATGGCGTTAAGGCAGCTGAACAAGTGGTTTACCTTGTTCTCAATGTGGGAAGATCACATCTGTGGTGATCCACAAAAATAATAGTCCTGCTACTGTTGAAACATACAAAGGGATTTCCTTGGGGGAAGATGAAGGTCTACTCTAGCAGGGAAAGTAAGAGAGAGTAAATAATTCTGTGCACTAACCCAGTCCTGTGTCCACACACATTGTCCAGGCTATAAGGGGGGCACTACTGTAATGAAATTATAAAGCAACATCCGTTAATGCCTCCTGGACAAACGTCTGATCATTCAGATGAAGAAGAAAGTCACCAGCCTCCTCAGAGTCTCAGAAAGCTTTAAAAGTAAGTTTTTACATAACTACAAGATTAGATGTTCTTTCTCCTATGCTTTTGGTAACTATAATTGTTTACAGAGTAGAACAATTCAAAGATTCACTGTATTGTTCCATTTCACACATTCTTGCTCTCAAAAAAATGAAAGAATAACCACTTTTATACCAATCTACTCCATAACCAAAGCTTGATTTCACATCAATAAAAAGCTGTATTTTGCTCCAGGAGATATGAGTGATCACTTTCTATGAATCTCCACTGGGGGCATCATCTTTGTATTAAAAAATATCTCTATATACTTGGAACTTACATCTTGACCCTGATTGGTTCTCTGGAATGCCCATGTAAATGTGAAGGTTGCATTCTTGAAGATGATGTGGGTGTAAGCTTGTTTTTCTTTGGTTCCACCCCATGATTCCACCACGTTGGTACTTTTTCTATTAATATCCTAAAAAATATACACAGAAAAGCACAAACTGAGTACTAGTATACATGTGTATTCGTTATAAATACGTGTTTGTATTTACAGCATACCCTGCAGGGTTTATAAATATATTATCTGCAAAGCATTTAACCCTAGAATTCTCAAAACTTCCCTTCAAGTGGCATAAGCACTCACTAGCTTAGTAATTATATCGACCACATTGTCAATGTAACCTGAAAGAGGTCTCGAATCATAGTATGTCTAAGAGGGTCTTTGGGTGGGAGTGAGAGGAAGGGAGAGAGAGAGATTTAGAGAGATTGAGAGAGAGAGAGAGGGAGAGAGACTGACTCTAACTTGGAGAAATACACTTAGAAGGGGAAATATAATTCCTCAAACTTCTCATAGTAAACTTAATAAAATGGCAAGACTTTCCAGTTTTATATTTTTCTTTGGGAGATTCTGACAGGCAGCTCTTGCACAGAAATTGTAAGTTCTCCCTGTCTTATACTTGCAACTTCTAGGCTTACCCAAGTGCAGATTCATCAGAATGTGACTGTATGTTCATGAATTAGTCTTTGGCTTATACTTTAATTTTAACAGGATTAATTTGTGTGATATTTTATTTCTAATTACCTTAGCTAAATTCAATATTTAGAATAACATATAAATGTGTGACACTCCAACCAACATGTTGTCATTAACATGGTTTGAAAGAAAGTATAATAAATCAACCAAATCATGTAATACTCATCTAATTTATTTGAAATGAAAACCAAAACTAACCCTGAATTTTCTTATTAGTCTTCCCAGCAGAACCCCTAATACATGACTTTGGATGGGTTTCTGTTAATTATCTGGGATGCTGACAATATGGTGGCATGAACTCAAGACATCTCTCTTTCTTTCTATGATATAAACATAGGAGTCAAACATGTTATACAGCAACCAAATATGCCATAAAGAGATGCATGTTGTGTTCATGCTACAGATAGAAGTAACAGAATGTGCATTTAATACATTACAAACTTCCCCACATTACCAAACAACCAAATCATTATACGTGCCACTTCCTAAAAGGAGTTCATAATATACAGATAGTGCCTTGTTAAACACCATTTCTCTGGATGTTTACTGCAATAACAAATGGAATTTCTTTCATTACTGCAACTAATACCAACTTATATTTGTAAAACACTACATAATTTTGAAAGCATTTTGATGTGCTATTTTAACTGATATCTCAAAAAATCCTGTGAGAAGACCAAATCACACAGAAAGACAACTAACAGATTCTGCTATGAGCTAAAATTTCAATACTAATTTACCAAAATAAAGAGCTGTAATACCTACCCTCAGGAGTATTGGGTCAAATGAGAAAGACACACACAAAAATGAATACATCCACATAATTAAAGTAGGGTTTTCGCAAAGGCTTTTAGGAGCACACTAGAGAAAGTTGTTAATTTTACTTAAAGGAATGAAAGAAATCTTCCCAAAAGAGGTGACATTTGAGCTGCCCTGGAAGTATGAATGGGTGATCACTAGACAAAAAAGCAAAAGGAAGAATGTCATCCTAACCTAGAGAGGCAAGAATAGAGAAGTGAAGAAGTCAGGGTGTTCCACTAACAATCAGGCTGCCCAAAGAGTGTGAATATTCACAGCAGGTTTGGTAACAGAGGGCAGGCAAAGAGTACAGAAAGCTGTATAGATGCCATGCTAACGAATTTTAAGTATATTTATAGCCTACTGGTTCTCAAACTTTAGTGTGTATCAGAATTACCCTTGAGGCTTGCTAAAATTAGGGAATGCTGGGCCTCATCACCAGAGTTTCTCATTAAGACTAGGATGGGGCTCAGAAATTAGCATTTCTAACAAGTTGTCCAGTGATGCTGGTCCAGGGACCACACTTCAAGAACTACCCCCGTAGACAGTAAAAAGCCACCTAGGGTAAGGGGGTAGATCTGATGTGGATGCCTCTACTATTGTTTCTGTGTTTATAAAGATATTTTGACAGCAGCATAGATGAGAGAATGGGGATAAAAAGCATGGATAGGAGACTACTGTTAAAAGGTAATAGGAATCTAAATGTCAGCTATGGGTCTGAGAATGAAGGGCTAAGAGATTAAAGAAATAAGGAGGCAGAGTTGGGAGAATCGAGCACTTACTGGTTATTTGTGGTATAATATAGATGGATGTGTTATTATTCATGATCTCCTTTTACCACCATGAAGTCAATCTTTGTTTTCAGAACTAAACAGTCTACCTTCATTTAAGCTTTTAGTAAGCACAAATAAATATTTAAATCTCCATATATCTTGTAGAGAAAATTGAGAGAAAATTCATGGAGAGAAAATTGTTAATGGACTGTTAACTAGCTATTAAAGGATCTTTGGAAAAACAAAAAAAAATCATGTCTGTAAAGTCACTACTTAATTAAAATGCTAAAATCTTAGCCAGCAAGCTTTTAATACCCACATGAGGTCCAGTAAATTTTTAAGCTAACAGTTGAGATTTATAGGACATCTAGAAAAGGGGGGCACAATTATGACATGTACATAGTAAAGTCCTTTGTCTGTCTACACTGATTAAATTTAACAAGGAAGTGTTTTCTTTCTCCAACTGTCTACAACATTACTACCTCCCCTCACTTATTGATACACATTTTTCCGTCCCAATGGCTTGAACTGCTAAATGGCTATTGGGGGAAATTTTTCATTCTGCTAATGGTGTATTTTTATGTAGACACTTTCTACCAGATTAATATTCTCTAACTGCTGTCAGTTGCCCAGCCCCCCGCACTCAGTCCTTCCCACAAGGAACAAATGCTTTCTTTGTGGGTGTCACTGCATAATTCTTAGAGACTTCTTTAGACACTTTTAAATGTTTTTGGAAGGCCCTAAGCATGGGAAGAAAAATAAGATTTTTATCCCAACCTGTATAAATGAATTCACACTTGAAAGAGAAGGTTAAACTTCTAGATTTCTAAATCTGCCTTTGAAAGCCACTCTTTCACTTACCACCATGAAGTACAGAACACAGTCAGCGGAGCAGAGGGTCTCAAAGACAAATGTTATTCTTCCCAGTTCAGAACCCATGGCTCCAGTCATAGATGTTGGTGGTCTATTTGACAGATTAAAATTACAATGTTATAGTGTGTTCTAAATACAATCTGGAACAAATTGTCACTTTTTCATTAACCTGAAAGCCATGCTCTTCTTGTCCCCTATTCTACTGCTCCCCCAATCCAACTCCTTCCTCACTCAATCTCTGCATGGCCATACCCTTTGTCCTAAATGGAGTTACTATTTAGGACATGTTACTATGCTTGAATCTCCTGGTATAAGTGCTACCACCCATCCTAAAGCAAGCAAAGGACACCTACTGGGAAACGTCAACCTGGAAAACTAAAGCAAAATGAGATTTTTAAACTTGTGACATACTAGTTTACAGATAAAACTGAGAGAAAATAAAATATAAAGCATAAGATACTACTGCATATAACCTGGAATAAGAGGTCTTCATTAAGCATCCAAGAATCATGATTATTGTAACATTTAAATAAAATATTATATAAAACTTTCAGCTTCATCTAATACATAATTAATAGTTATAGTTTCTCAGTCACTGATTCTATGATATTCTTAAATACATTATACTACTTGTTATTTGCTAAGTATATTGCAATATTAATATATTTTATAAAGGCAGTCCTACTCCATCTATCTCTATAGGGAAGCAGGCATGAGGATTCTTACAGAAGGAAATCAGAATTGGTTTTCCTTACTTAAATCCTGGGATATGCAAGTTTAAGATCAGGTAATCATTATCAGAACCTCCAGCTCCACTCTTGATATGATCTCCAGCCACCTCCCAACCTGGAAATGATAAAGTCATCTTTATTAGTAAAAATTCCATTAATTATTTTGCACCAATTTTTTAAAATAAGGTTAAAAAAGACCCTTATGTTCAAAGTTAGAAATACTCCAAAAGAATTCCCTATTTTTAAATTGCACGTGCAAATTGCATGTAAAGGTGAACTCCTACATATCAATAAAAACATTCCATGTGATTCCCCAGAAATAATCAAATAATACATATTTTTGCATAAAAGTTATTTATTGAGAAAACAACAGTTTTCTCAATGAGGCACAATTATCTTTTTAAAAACTAAAACAGATGGTCTTAATTCATTCTAATATAATACAATAAGATAGAAAATCTTAGTCTCCAGGTAACCCATGAGAAACAGAAACCTCAAATTACATAATGAAGACAATTTGAGGTTGAGAGTTATTTTTTATAGTTTGCTAAATATTGTCGTTCCCTAACTTAACCCTTGTTCTGCATCCACTCACTTATTCATTCACTCAGTTGGTATTCACTGAGTGCTAAGAAATATGACCTACACTAGGGATAGAAAGGCAAGACTGGATTCTCCCTCACTGAAGAATCAGTAGAATATGAGAGACACACACTAACAATCGTCAACAGTAGGGGTGATACAGATGAATGTAGAAGGTGCACAAAAACAACCAACATACCATAGGCTGGAATGGCCACAATATAATGAGGAAAAGAGAAGCATCCCCCACACACAATCAAGCATGGTTATTAATTAATGGCAATGGCCTAGCATTGACACTTCCATCTCTAAAAGAAAATGTCAACATCTGCTACTCCAATAAGTATAAGGGAGAAACTGAGGAAGGGATTCATGTCAGTGCTAGAGTAGTGATTTGGCAGTTTTTTGAAATGTTATAACCAGCAGTTTATAGAAAGGTAATATGTTGACTATACATAAACAAACTAGTCCTAAAAATAATACGCAGTAATCTACTTGCTTATGAGAGAAATGCCAATTGTTCTGCTGTCTAAAAGTTCATGCGGTTAAAACAAGAGACAAGCAGGTATGAACTCCTAATGTTAAGAGCTGAACAGCCATAAAAAGTCTGGTCCAGTGGGACGCCAGGCCCTTGGCTGCTCTGTAAGTAACGTGAAAGGCATGCAGGTTCAGGCAGGCTGCAAACTTGCATCTGGGGTTAATGGAAGAGAGATATTCCCACATGGAGAACATCTATACCAAGGGAGGGAGGAATTACCAATGCTTCTCTAAGATCTCTTCCTAGTATTAAGAAATGTCATGAGGAGGGACAAAACAGCAGAGAAGGCCAAAGGAAAGGAAGCAGTACATGGATGGTAAAAAGCTAAGTTGGGAGGGAACTAATATCCTTGCAAGAAAAAACATTTCTCATGTTTTAAGCATTGCCTGTTGTTAAAAGGTTGAATTGCGCCCCCAACCCCCAAAGATATGCAGAAGTCCTAATCCCTGGAGCCTGCGAATGGTCTTTATTATTTGGAAACAGAGTCTTTGCAGACATAATCGAATTAGGATGAGGCCTTTAGGGTGAGCCTTAATGCAATGTAACTGGTGTCCCTATGAGGAGAGGGAAATTTGGACACACACGCAGGGAGAACAAAGACTGTGTGAAGACAGAGACACAGACACAAGGAGAAGATGACCACGTGACGATAGAGGCAGAGACTGGAGTTATGCTGCCAGAAGCCAGGGAAAGCCTGGGGCTACCAGAAGCTAGAAGCAAGGAAGGATCTGCCCAGAGAGGCCCGCCAACACCTTGATTTAGGATTTGTGCATAATTTCTTTCTTTACATCACATTGTTTCTTTGGTATAAATTCCTAGAAGTGAAATTACTGGACTGAAGAACGGAAACATTAAAATTCTTGAAACATTGCTAAACTTTTTTCCATATGGCTGTCCATTTTAATGATTACATAACATTTCATTCAACTAGTATGGCGTAAATTTTGTAGACATTATCCATTTGCTAGATATTTAGATTATTTCAATTTTTATTATTACAGATAATGCTCAATGAACAGTTTCTCAAATACACGGTAACTTGTCTTCAACTTTGAATCCCTCTTAGGCGAAATTCCAGTACATAAAGATTTACTTCTACATGCCTGTGCTGCAATTGTGCAAAACTCAAACTGAAAATACAGTAACCTCAAAGTACTCCAGGTCACACAAGGCAAATTGGTCAAAGCACATCCACTTTAACTCGGTGACTCACGACTATCTCACGACAGTGGCTGCCCTGGGCCTCTTGCTTGGATCTCCATTCCTTGGAGTGCTGCTCCTCGCAAGGTTGGTTACTGAAACTCCCAGTTACAAAAATATAATCACCTTTCACCTTTTTACTTTTCACATTACTGTTTGTCATTGTGGTGTCACATACTAATATTACACAGATGTATACTTTCCAAATTAATAATTGAATGTTTCTGGGAAATAAGCAAATATTTAAACTATAGCCTATAAGTGAATGAGTGGGTAAATCAAGCACTATTATGAAACTTAGACTAGGAGGAAATTCTCTAAAAGATCCAATGAAAGTTTTGATAATTTTTACTAGTAAATGAATACACACACACACAGTATTGATGCTTTCATAGAGTCATTCAATACCCTAGCCTTCCCAATCTTACTTTTCCAATGCCTTAACTTTCTCAGCCTAGAATTCAATCATAGTATCTTTTTAAAACATAAACCTTCATGGTTAGGTAATAACTATTTTTTCTTTTTCTCCCTTAGGATAAATTTCTACAAGTGGAATTACTGATCAATAAAGAGGGATATTTTCATAATGTTCAATATATGTTAAAGCTTCTTCACACATCTGTTTAACCAACATTACCCAAGGACCAATTATTTGTCAGTCCCTGTATTCATGTGTACACCTCACTTTCTACATCCCAAGCCAGTTTATTCTGGATAGGTACTGATTTAAAACAGATGTAATTAAAAAGCATTTTTTACAATGATCAAATATAATATTTTAAAAAGTGAGCTGATAAAAAATGCTAATGAGTTTTAAAAAGTAAAGGATGCATTTTGGTGTAAAACCCTAGTATTTATAACACCTACTCCTAGTGTCAAGTTTAAAAATACATACATAGATATTGTCATTCAATTCAACCAACAAATATTGCAGAACAATTAACCATGAGGCTCTCTAAGAACTTAAAATGCAAGAATATTCAGCAACCTTCCTATAGAAGTCTGCCACATTTTCAAGTTTCCAGTAAATCGGGTTCGTCAGTATTTAGTAATCAGGGTCAAAGACTTCATAGGCAAAGAGAGAGATGATTTAACTAAGCTCTCACCATGGCTCAGTGTTGAGCGAGACAAAACCAATCCAGGCAGAAATGCTGTCACACTACCCTTCAAAATGGCAAATGACAGATTTCATTACCTCCCTTTGTAATCTATTCTGGTATTTATAACCATAATTGGTCCTCCTCAATATCTACCTCTAAACTGACTCCAAAAATGCAAAAGAGTTTATATTCTTACAGGAAAGTCATCTGACTGTAACACCTCATTTTTACATGAGAGCTCAAAGACAGGCAAGTAGCCAAATAAGATTAAAGTCCCTCGTACCCACATGTAGTACGTGTTTAAAGAGCTGAATCTGAAAGTCTCTGCTGCGAAAATACATCAAGTAGGCCGACTCTGAACTCACCATTCATTCCATCACACTTTGAATTCCCGACATTAAAGCAGGAGGTTTTCATGTTGCCAGGAAGGACATTCCACCATTTATATTCAAACCCAAGCGCAGGCTCCGTTCCTGCTGGACACGGTCTACATTCTGCAGGAGACAAGTGGGGCAAATAATTACAGTTAAACTGCATCTGGACAACTTCCTCTCCCTCTGTTCCAAGCACTATTAACATTTAATTAGCACAGGGGGAAGTGGGAAGGAGAGATATTGAGCCACCAATTCCCTTCAGAATGAATAACTTTTTCAAAAGCAATCGGGAAAGAAAAATAATTCTGGATATATTATGCACATATATACTTGACTTACATGAAAAAGGAAAAAGGCAAATGCAAAATCTTTTAAAATAATTTCCCCCTTCATTTCTGGGAGTAACTGCTAATGCTGAATTATCCTCTACAAGAGTAATCCTGAAACAGGTTCTCTTACATGTGATTTTAGAATCAGTACCCTCCACCTCATGAATAAGGAAATATTTCCCACTCCTTATTGGCTATTAAACTGAATACAATTTTATGTCATTTAATTATGGACTGATTACTGGAAATTCAAAATATTGGCTATTTTAAAACGTGATACTGGGAGCCCTGGTCAGGTGGCTCAGTTTGAGCATATACCCTGTCAGGGCACATACCTAGGCTGCGGGTTTGATCCCCAGTCAGGGAGCATACAAGAGGCAATCAATCAATGTTTCTCTCTCACATCAATGTTTCTCTCTCTCTCAAAAAAATCAATTAAAAAAACATATCCTCAGGTGAGGATTGGGGGAAAAAAAAGGACACTGGGAGTTGAAGGGTTTGCAAAGAGTTAAGGTTTATAAACAAACCTGATTTAAATTAACATCTGTACTAATGAAATAAAAGGGTCTTTTCTAACCATTTTTTAATTTACCTAAGACACTTTGCATTACCACATCAGTGAGAGAAGGGGTAGGGAGAGAAAATGTTCACTGAACAAATACTTCCTGGTACCGAAGTATTGCAGGAGACATTTTTATACAACCTTCTCAGTGATGATGAGCTAGATATTATTACTCAAAACTACAGATGAGAATATTGAGGTTCAGAAGGTTTAAGAAACTTGGATAACCCACGCCATTGGTAACCTGAAGGATGTGGACTCAAACTCAAGTCAATTCGACTCTCGAGTACTTTTTATGTTCTCTCTCAAAGGCTCTGGATATTAAGTATCCAGCATGGCTATATTCAAGTAAGAAACCTAAAATGCCACTAAAATGCACTGTAATCTTTGCCTACCAAAATTAAAACAAAGTCTGTAACCACTTTCTATATTATTTGGTAAGTACTAAAATTTTCCCAACTATATGCTTGAAAACAATTTACTTAGGGACTATGATATGCCATATGATCTAATGAACAAGGAGCAATTTTTTATATTATTGTAGCACAAAATGTGATTTATTATTCCAAAGCTGAATTAGAAGACATTATATTTAATGCTTACATCAATATATGTGTACACACACACTGGAAAAGAAGTGCTTATCCTTAATCACTTAATATGGTGGAATTTCTTATTACTACCTAAAGGCAGAGTCATCCCATTAAGAGTGTATTACACAAAATGTCATTAAAAAGTGATCTTTATGATATGGTAAATAAGCCAATGCAGTCTCATGATGCCATTATCATGTTTCTTAACTCTACTTCAGTCTCTGAGAAAAGTATATTTTAAAGAATGATTTCATAAGAACAATTTAGAACAAAGTCACAGCAGTCCAACAAGATTATTATGCTGAAGGTCCAATTAATGGACTAACTGATATCCTACCCTTTGTTCCATCTGAAAATGTCCCAGGAGGGCAGGGATGGCAAGAAGATGATCCATTGTTATAAAATCCAGGGTTGCAAGGTGGACAATCCTTCTTCTCTCCAGAAGGGGGCAACCTAATAGCATCTTTGAGATCTTCCCGGCAGATTTTGGGCTCTATCCACTTGTACATTATCTGTGTCTGCAAAAAAAGCTTATAAGTCATTTAACATCCTTTATTTGCTTTAAACTTCCAATAACACAAATGGTAAACTCTCAGCCTAGAAAAATTCCAAATAGTGACAGAATAGAATGGCCAAATGAATACAATCTAAAATATTAGTAAGAAAACGAGACAAAAAGAAAAAAAAAAACTTTAGCAGCAAAAAATGACCATTATTTCCAAGTATTTTTACCCTAAACTACAGATGGCTTTACCTAAGACACAGTATGTTCCTCATCATGAAATTCCTCTTTAAAATACAGATAATGAGATTATAGCCCTTACTCTTCTATCTACCCATTCACTTTATTCCTTAACTAACATAAGCTTCTATGCAGAGACTAACTTTTTCATTTTGAGACCTGTACTACTCTCTCTTCCTTTCCCTCAACCACAGTACCTATCACCAGGCTTTCCATAGAGTAATTTAAAAAATAAAATAAAACAATTATTTTTAAAGAAGAATATATCTAGCTTCACATTTTAATCCTGTTACTTAATAAATACTGGTAGTTGCTCTCTAGATCTTTTCCAGTAACCTGATATTAAACTCTAAGACCTGTAGCTAAAATATTTTCTTCTGTGGAGTTTAGGCCCTCCTGCATGTGTGCCAAACATCAGAATTAAGACAGCCTCTAGGCTTCTGGTTAAGGTGGTAGCAAAGGTAAATGCAGTCCTGGCATCCTCCTGGGACCACATCAAAATTACAATTAAACTACAGAAAAACTGTCATTTAGCACCACCTGAAATCTAGCCAAACAGAAGTCCTATAATTAAGGATATACAGAAGAAGCCACATAGAGACTGGTAGGAGGAGCAAAGATACAGAATGAGATGGTTCCACACCCACCTATGTGGATAAAAATCAAGAGAGAACTCTCAGCTGCAGAAGTCCCCTACGAGGAGCGTGTGGTCCCAGCCCCATACCAGGACCCCCAGCCCAGGTTTCCAGTGTCAAGAGAAGCCCCCATAACTTCTGACTGCGAAAACCAGCAGGTATTGTGTCTGAGTGAGACAGAGAACTGCTGGAGTCGCAGGCATTCCTATTAAAGGACTGGAGCACAGACCTACTTGAACTCACTCTCTCTGAGCTCCAGCACTGGTACAGCAGCTCAAACGGCATCAGGGACATATGGGGAGGAACTGAATTATCTGGCTCTGGGGTGAAAGCTAGAGGGGCAGCTTTCTTCCTGATAGAAGTGCTGGCAGAAGCCATTGTTCCTTTTCTGAGTCCTTCCCTCTGCAGGTACAGGCTGACACCATATCTGAGTCTCAACCAACCTAACACTATTAGCTATGCTCCGGTGATTCCTTGAGATGCTGCCCAATCCCAAACTGTGGGTAAGTCCAAGCCACTTCCAGTGCTGTGAACTTTCCTAAAATCTCTAAAAGGTTCACAAACCCCAAACAAGCAGCATCTGACCTTGTCCTGGCCCATACCACTTGCTAAGTGGCCCCATCTCCTGCATCATTAGCAGCCAGCCTCTGTTTGTAGCTTGGTCTTTCCCAGGCACCAATAACCCCTGCAAAAGTAGCAGTCATCTGCAGATCATGTTGTAGTTCATGCAGTGAGGCCCAGAGCAGGACACAGGTGGTGGCCTACCTTGGCCTGCATCTCTGAGAAGCCCCAGAGCCAGTACACTTGGTGGCCAGCTTCAGGCTATGACAAAGCACCATCCAACCACCAACATGAGCAACACACTCAAGGGGTAGACCTGGCAGGCATTAGAGCTTCACTGAAGTGAGTTCTGCTCCATGGGGTTGGCTCCTGCATAGCAGCTCCTCCACTGTAGTCAAAGCTGGTCCTTGTAGCCGGTCAACTTGGGGATCAATCCCACCCACTGATGTGCCAACAGCAGTCAAGGCTCAACTACAACAGAGGGGTTCACACAGCCCACACAGGGGGTATAGTGGGAGTGTCCAGCTTGGGTGACCATGAAGGCTGTGTCTCTGGGCCCTACAGGACATCTACTACATGAGGCCACCCTACCAAGACTGGGAGACATAGCATATCTAACTAACTGAGCAATTTTCAACAAGTGTGCCACAAGAATTTTTTAAATATGTAATACCTGAAAATTTAGTCAAGAGCACTGACTTCTTTTCCTTTAGATTGTAAAATAAAAAAGATAACAATAGCCAACACAACAATAGCTGTCCAGTGTAAATAAATCAAAATTATATCTATTTTTTTGTCTGATTGGCAAAAAACTGAATATACTTTTGGTGTGCTCCACAATTTTAGTAATTAGTTTATGTGTGACATGAGATAAAAAAAAGATTCAAAATCATTGATCCAATATAAGACATAGAAACAAAAACAGGAGGTAGTCAAAATGGGGAGACAAAGAAACATGTCCCCCCAAAAAGAACAAGAGAAATCTCCAAGAAAAAAAAAATTAATGAAATGGAGGTAAGCAAACTACCAGAGTTCAAAGCACTGGTTATAAAGATGCTGAAAAAACTTAGTGAGAACTTCAAAAGCACAGAAAAGGACAAAGAAACCGTAAAAAAGAACCAGTAGGAAAGGAAGAATACAATAACTGAAATGAAGAGCACACTAGAAGGAATCAACAGCAGATCAGATGATGCAGAGGATCGAATCAGAAGTTTGGAAGACAAGGTAGCAGAAAACAATCCATCAGAGAGCAAAAAGAAAAAAAATTAAATGAGGATAGATTAAGAGGCCTCTGGGACAATATCTAGTGTAATAAAATCCACATCATAGGGATATCAGAAGGAGAAGAAAGAGAGCAAGGAACTGAAAACCTATTTGAAGAAATAATGACTGAAAACCTCCCTAACCTGGTGAAGAAGAAAAAATAAAGTCCAGGAAGCACAGAGAGTCCCAAATAAGATGAACACAAAGAGGCCCACACACATCATAAACAAAGACACATCATAATTAAAATACCAAGGTTAAAGACAAAGAGAGAATCTTAAAAGCAGCAAGAGAAAAACAGTTACCTATAAGGGTGCTTCCATGAGACTGTCAGCTGATTTCTCAACAGAAACTTTGCAGGCCAGAAGGGATTGGCACAAAATATTCAAAGTGATGAAAAGCAGGACCTACAACCAAGATTACTCTACCCATCAAAGCTATCATTTAGAATAAAAGAGCAGGTAAAGAGCTTCCCAGGCAAGAAAAAGCTAAATGAGTTCATCACCACTAAACCAGTATTATAAGAAATGTTAAAGGGCCTTCTTTTAAAAGGAGAAGAAAAAAGATAAAAAATATGAATAATAAAATGGCAATAAATAGATATTTATCAACAACTGCTTTAAATGCAAGTAGATTAAATGCTCCAATCAAAAAAAATATGGTGACTGAATGGATAAGAAAACAAGACCCTTTCATATGCAGTCTAAAAGAGACTCACTTCAGATCAAAACATACACACAGACTGAACGTAAAGGGATAGAAAAAAAAGTCATGAATATGGAAACAAACAAAATAAGTGGGGGCAGCAATATGTATACCAGACAAAACAGACTGTTAAACAAGAGACAAAGAAGGACCCAGCAATCCCACTTCTAGGTACTTATCTAAAAAAACCAAAACACTAAATCAAAAAGACATATGCATCCATACATTCATTGCCGCATTATTTACAATAGTCAAGAAATGGAAACAATGTGTCTGTCAATAGATGAATGGATAAAGAAGTGGTGTATACATATAATAGAATAGGACTCGACCACAAAAATGAAGTCTTGCCATCTGCAACAACATGGATGGACCTAGAAGATACTGTGCTGAGTAAAATAAGTCAGAGAAAGATAAACGCCATATGCCTGGGCGTGTGGCACAGTGGGTTCAAATGTTGTCCCATACACTGAAAACTATGGATTCGATTCCCGGTCAGGGCAGATACCTAGGGTGCAGGTTCAATCCCCAGCTGTGGCATGTACAGGAGGCAACCAATCAACGCTTCTCTCAAACATTGATGTTTCTCTTTCTCTCTCTCTCTCTCTTTCTCCCTCCCTCTCTCCCTCTCCATCCTTCCCCTCTCTAAAATCAATAAGAATATCCTCAGGTGAAGATAAAAAATATAAATGCCACATGATTTGACTTATACGTAGAATCTAAAAAACAAAATAAACGAACAAGTAGAAAAGAAACAGAGTCACAGATACAGAGAATATTTGGACAGTTGCCAAATGGGAGGGGGATTGGGAGGATGGGTGAAAAAGGTGAAGGGATTAAGAAGTACAAAGAGGTAGTTACAGAATAGTCATGGGAATGTAAAGTACAGCCTAGGGGATATAATCAATAATATTGTAATAACTGTGTGTGGTGTCAGATGAGTACTTTTTTTATCCAGGTTATCACTTCATAAGTTATATAAATGTCTACTCACTGGGTTGTACACCAGAAACTAATATAATATTGTAAATCAACTGTAATTGAAAAATAAAATATTATTTTTTTAAATGACAGCTTCTGCCCTGGCACAGCAGCTTAGTTGTTCAGAGCGTTGTCCCAATATGCCACAGTTGTAGGTTTGACACCCGGTCAGGGCACATATAAGAAGCCACCAATGAATGTATAAATGAGTGGAACAATAAATCGACATCTCTCTCTCTCTCTCTCTCTCTCTCTCAATCTCTCTCTCTCTCTTCCTCCCTCCTTTCCTCTCCCTCTCTGAAATCAATCAATCAATTAATTTTTAATAATAAAAATAATAAAGACAGCCTCTAGCTTCAGGGAGGAAAGTCTTTTAAATCTTATCCTTTCATTCTTTTTCACACATGCATACACCCCCACACAAAACAAAATACAACAAAATAGCTGTGACTCAGCCAAACCCAGAAAGTTGTAATTATAAAATTATTCTCTTTTGAAACCAAAACATTAAATGGGTTAGCCATTTCAAAAACAAAGTTGGTATTTTCAGTCAGCGAAAGGTATTCTAAATACAAAGAGAACAATAAATAAATTATTTCATAACTAAATACAGTTTTTAAAAAAGAAATTA